CCGTGGAATTGCCCTACTCTGAACCTACAGTTAAGTACGCAGCCAAGGACAACTTCATGAAAAACACCATCTATGACTTAATAATAACGGGCCAAGGGTGTTTACGTCTGTGTTCTGTGTGTACGTCTGTCTGTCACGAAATTCGTAGAGCGGCTTCCATCAAAGGTCTTGAGCTAGAATTTTGGTCATAGCACCCTATCAGCATGTAGGTAAACTGTGCAAAAGCACAAGCCGATCCGATTAGTGGAACCTGTGAAAACTGAGCGCCAAACGGGTCCACGCGACTTCTGGCTCGCCAAAATCTGTCGGTAATTGGGCTTTTTGCAAAATCGCGGATACGCGTAACAAGTAAACCTGCACACCATGAGCTTCAGCCCAAAAAATGAGCGAAACTTCTATTCTCACGCAAAATCGGCGCCAAAAGGAAAGGCATGCGTAGATGGTTGATTTGTCAAGGTTCCACCCAAGAATTTGTGGAAATTTTTGCTCGGAGATCTAACTCACGGTAATCACTGTCTCTGTAGCGACCATCAAGCCATAATATATTGGGTAACCAATTTAAGTTCGCACTCATTTTTCGGCACAAAGGTTTCCCCCTCTCTTGAAGTGACCGATCGAACATGGAAAAACTTTTGGAATAAGCGCTGCTTACAATTCATTCATGATTGCCAGAAAGCGCGGTAAGTTTCAAAGCATCACTATGCGAGCACTTGAGGGACTTGGATGTTGAAACCGCGTCAGCCTTTGCGAAGCAGAGATGACGGACGAGATATTCGCTGGTGACTTATAATAAAGCGCTAAACGTCTGCCCTTTTGTGTGTGTCTGTGTGTTTGTCTGCCTGTCACGAAATTCACAGAGGCAGCTGCAGTCAAGCTATCGAGCTACAATTTTGCATAGCATACCGTACCAGCATGTAGGCCCACCATGCACAAGGACGAGCCGGGTTAAGGGGTGTTTCAAAAATTGCGCCTCAAACGGGTCCAACTGGCTTTTGGCTCGCAAAACTAGGTCACAAATTCAACTTTTGGCAAAGTCCTGATTTGCTTGACAAGCAAATCTGCGCTCCAAGACTTCTAGCTCAAAGAGTGCTCAAAAAGTTTGCTTTTTCGCGAAAACAGCGCCAAAAAGTAGTGGTCGCGTAGAGAGTCGATTTGACAAGGTTTTACCCAAATATTTGAAAAGATTTTTACATGGAAATGTAGCCCAGGATGACTATTATCTTTATAATAATTATCAAGCCAAAATAAATAATAATCTATTCGAATTCGTATTCATTCCTTGGCAAAAAAGTTTTCTTTCTCAAAATTATCGATCTTACGTGGAGATGCTTCAAGAATGAACAGTTGTTTACAATTCATTTATGATGTACGGCCTCGCGCGGTGAGTTTCAAAGTCATCATTTTGGGAGCAAGAATAAGGCATACGGATAACAGAGCCAATGCGAACCTCCGCGAAGCGGAGGTGACGCACTGGTGACTTATAATAACGGGCTAAGGGTGTTTACGTGTTTTTGTGTGTGTGCGTCTGTCTGTCTGTAACGAAATTCAAGAACGAGTCGTAGACAAGGTGTCAAGCCGTAATTTTTTTGCACACCATACACTGCCAACATCTAGATTCACCATGCAAAAGCACGAGCAGATTTATTGAGTAGGTCTCTCGAAAAGTGCATCCCAAATAGACCCACTCAACTTCTTGCGCCCGAAATTGGGTCCGTATCACCTCTTTTTTCAGAGTTGTGGTCAGGTTTGGCAAGTTAATGTTCAAGCCATGAAGTTAGACCAAAAAAGTGACCAAAAGTCTATCGCTCTACAAAAACGGCGCCAAAACCAGTTGGTTGTGTGAATGGCGGGTTTGCCACGGTTTTACATAGTCATTTTAGGAAAATTTGCACAGAGATGTAGGTCACGATGGATATCACCTCTATGGCGACTACCAAGCCATGGAAAATTTAAAAGTGTTCTAAATCTGCATTTGTTCTTTATCTTCTAAAGTTTCATGCACACAAAATACCGATCTCTCAAGAAAAAGCTTTCGGAATGAAAAGTTGTTCACGATTTATTCATGAAAGCAGGCATTGCGCGGTAAGTTCCAATGTCATGTTATGCGAGAATGAGCGAGGCATACAGATAGGAAAACCAGCGCGAGCCTCTGCGAAGCAGAGGTGACGCGCTGGTAGCAGTATAACAATAAAATGGCTGCTGATCAAATTACCCAGTGCTGACCAGAAAAAATAACTCAACAGTTAGAAGAGATGCTTGCCGAAAACTGTTGGAAGTCCACTGCTAGTCTCAAAAGCGGCAAAGCCAGGGAAAATGAAAGGGCTTTTTTTACTTTTTAGAACAGGGTGGCTTCCCAAAGCCAAATGAAAAAGGTGATAACGATCAATCGTCTGTGAACTGCATATTGCGAAACATTGCATCATAAACCCACAAGTCGGGTGGCAATGCGCTAGCCGCTACAGTATGCATCAGCGTGAAGATCTAACATGCATTCGTGCTTTCACATCATCTGGCTTGCTACAAAACATGCAGCTGCTGTTTTTCGGCTCGACCTGGCAATCCTTACAATGTCTGGGAAGGATTTCGCTAAACTTTTCTGTTTTTATTTTACTTCGATGGGCTCATCGTTGCCCGGAAAGGTGCGGGTTTCAAAGTCAGAACTTGCCTTCTTGCATTGTCATAGTTTTTTTGCTCCGTTGACAGTGGTGTTGTTTTTCATAATCACTCAATGCCACGGGCGTTTTTCGCAGTATTGAGTAGTTGCCAGTCGATATCTTCTCGATAATTTGACGTTTCGAAAATCTGATGTTGGTTCAGTACGTCTGCTCACGTTTTGAGAAGTTAACCAGCTTGTGTTCCTAGTCTCTCAGTCTATACAGTCTCAATTTGTTGGTCAAAATCTTCAGGCCCCGGCCAGACTTCGCTCAAAAGGGCCCAAATTTCTCAATGTCTTTTCACTTTTTCATGCGATAAGAGATGAGGGAATAACATGGGCGTTTTTGGGCGCTTTTGAGCGCTATTGGGCGCTTTTGAGCGAAGTCTGGCCGGACCTTCAGTTTCTCTAATCTGGGTTTTTCTTTTTGCCTTCGCAGGGTCACTTTATGTAATTTTTTGATCACAGCTCGAGAAGGATGCAGTCATACCTTCTCGAAGTGCGAGTGAGTCATCTAGAGGTGTCGATTTACATTCTTTTTGGCCTATCGATTATATTCTTTCAGACAATAAAATCTTAGAATTGAAACGATGCGACTTTTTTGGAAACATTGCGCTCTCTTAGCTTCTTTTCTTTGCATTGGAAGAAAATCTCACCTTGAAAAATAAAACGCGCCAAAGACGACGTATTATAACACGTGTCCACAAATGTTTCCGCGAAGTTCCATCTTCGTCTCAGAATTGAATGAGGAAATTTACCGTATCGATTTTTTAGTCGTCCAAACATTATTTTGTTTGACGTCTAGGTCATGTGATATACGTGGCAGTTGCAAATCTGTTCTTTAACTTCTTGATCGCTCCCCTACCTCATTCCTTGTTATATTTCTTGATGTGTTGTAATCCTGTCTGGTAGATTCATAGAAAGTGAACCACAGCATCCTAGCAGTTTATAGCTGACTTACCCGGCTCCGCCCGGCGCTGTCAAAACAAAAGGATAAAGGTTCCATCCCTATCTCTGTGCCCACTTCTACTTGCCAATTTCCTATCCCCGTTGTGTTGGTAATGAGCATGCTCACTTACGCTCGCGTTTCGCGTGCGTAGTTTCTCGCGGAAGGGAGTACGTAATTGACCCAAACTGTAATTCAGACGTGTTTCTCGGAAGAATTTGAATATTCTGGGTGAGCCAGGAAGGGTGGAGGCATTTTTTGCGTAATATGAAGCCGGACAGATTCTATCAGGTAATTTTTTTCTGAATATGAATAGTTGTGGATAACAGATGACATATTTTGCAGATATTTATGCATGCATTGGAGTGCTATGACGAAACAATGGAATCCTCTTTTGAATTTTAGAACCAAAAAAAGAAGTTTTGCCCCCGGCATGTCTACTGTACCCTCTATGCCAACTCCGAGCCCCATAGCTCAAACTTTGTGAGAAAACCAGTGAATTCGATAAAAGTAATTGATAATTCTAAAAACTAATATTGTAACCGTAATCAGCATGCTCAATTACCCCCCCCCCCCTCCCCGTGCTAACTCCCAGCCCCATAGGTGAACTGCAAAACTTGAGCTCTATCTCTGTTGGTCTGACCACACAAACAGAGATAGAGCTCAAGCCTAACCACGCCTATGAAGTATACGCCGCGCGCCTTAGAGACTTCCGATAGGACGCACGGGGACGAGAGCCGCCAGCGTGGGCCCCCACCCCCCCCCCCTCCCGGACCGCCGGCCCCGGAACGACACGCAACAACACCGCGAAAGGACCAGCCGGGGGGCGGCGAAAGCCGGCCCAGACCGGCGCCCCCCCCCCCCCACCCGGCCCCGGCCCACCCCGCGCCGGCGCACCAGACGGGGGACGCCCGGGATGGCCCCGAAGGGCCGAGGACAGCCACCAACCTCCGCCGGCCGGGGCACGTGCCCCAGGGCCGCCGCCAGGAAGAGCAGCCACCGTCGGTCCCCCATCCCGGCCACCGAGGGCCCCCCAGAGCGGTGGAGCGGCCACCACCCCGCAGCCACCGAAGGCCGTGGGGACGCTGCCGCTCCCCGATGGCAGCGTCTCCCCATCTGGCAAAAATTGGTGCAGGCCCAAGGCAACCATCAACTCAGTCTTTTCAGAATGTCTGAAATGAAGAAAATTCGAATCAAAATGGCTGATCTCATGCCTTTACTTGTACCGCAAGACGACTACTTCATCGTGGAAGAGCAGCGCTTACTGAATCTCATCCAGTCAAGCAAATCGCAGGGAATTCTCCCGCAGCCGCCACTACAGCCACAACAGCCACAATAGCCTGCTAAAAGTAGAAAGTGAGCTGGTCAAAGCTAAAACATATCATTTACAGGAGGCCCCCCATGAAGCCGGTACCGTCTGGCGAAGAGAATTTTGTTCCGAAAAGAAGGTAAGTTTTGAACTTTATGTTGTTTCTTATCCTCAGCTAATTGCCATTTTTTAATCTCATCGTTATAGATACGCTCCACCAAAACCACCACCAGCTACAAAATCTAAAGTTGAGCCGGCCAGCCAGCCAACCGCTGGCCCTAGCGGCGATTTGGAACCATCGTTCGGGCAGTTTATGAGAATGATAACGGAGCTCATTAAGAATGAAGCAAAGAAAGAACATAAGTAGAACAACGACGCAAAGGAAAAAGATGAATTAGATGAAATATTTAATGTTGACTGAATCACGTAAACTGGTTTTTGTAAAATTTTTCTATTTGTAAGTCCAGTATCCTTTTGTAAAAGAAGCAAATAAAAAGTTTTTTTTTTCTGAAGATTTTTCTCTGAAAATTCCGGTTTCAATGAGTGTTGATATATCCGCTTTCGTCGATTGAACCGTTGGTTCCACCTCAACTGAGTTGACCGATGTGCGATTGTTACATACTGCCCCTGAGGCGGTATGTAACAATCGTCAACTGTTTGTTCATCTTTTGTGCTCTACTACCCCAATAATGTAGCACAATGAATAGCAGCACTTTGCTGTTTAAGCTGAGATAATTCGTTATTTGTATGATCCCGAACGGGATCTCCCACTGATCACGCTCATTTTCAAAGTTATTTATATCCGCAAAAACTCAGTGAATACGACACAGAGTTTTGTGTCATCTATTATGACAGTGCTACGCATGGTTTTAGTAACGTAAATTAAATGTGCAAGTTTTGAGTTTTTCAAGCCCAATTCATGAGCACAGGTTCAGTGAATATTTTTTCAGTTTGATTTTTCACTTGTTTCTTTTAACATGCGTAGCACTGTCGTAATAAATGGACAGCAAAACTCTGTGACGTTTTCCGAGTTTTTGCGAATATAAAGAACTCTGAAAATGAGCGTGATCAGTGGAAGATCCCGTTCGGGATCATACAAATCTTATATATAAAGCTGAATGTCTGTCTGTCTGTCTGTACGTATGTTCCGAATAGAAAATTCCATTTCTGAACCAATCCGGACCAAACTTGGCACACATACACTTCGGGCCCCGGCAGGTGTCATAGGCTACTTTTCGTCATCGATCGATATCGATTAAAGTAGTCTATGGCACCCGCCGGGGCCCGAAGTGTATGTGTGCCAAGTTTGGTCCGGATCGGTTCAGAAATGGAATTTTCTGTTCGGAACATACGGCGGAGCCGGGTAAGCCAGCTAGTAACGAATAATCTCAGCTTATACAGCAGAGTGCTGCTAGTCATTGTGTTACAATATTAGGGTAGTAGAGTCTCCAATAGATGAACAAACAAGGAAGAAACAGTTTCCCAAAGCACCGAGCTATGAAGCGGAAACTGCCTGTCCGGGTAACCCCCGGATGGTCACCTCCACCGAGGTATTGAGTCAGTGGTTCAACAACTTATGGTTATTAAAAATTCCTCGATAGAGGGCAACCGATGGTTGTCCCCGACAGAGGCGACCGATGGTTGTCCTCAACAGAGGCAACCGATGGCTGTTTTCAACAGAGGCAAGCAATAGTTGCCGATAGTTGTCCCGTTTCGTTCCTACCCTTAGACGGTTTGGCTGAATAGGTCCTAGCCTTTGCCCAGAAATCATCAGTAAGGAAGGAAGTTCGACTGGATCTGTTCAGCTCCTTGTTCGTCCCACCCACCTGCGACCGCCGCTGGCCGCCAGTTTTTTTAGGTTTTCGTTTTGACATTTTTTGGATTTTGTATTTTCCAATTTTTAAGCATTCCAATAGAATGGCATGCAGCAAATAAATACTGTACTATACTACAGCATGCAATTATGTTAGCGCTCTGGGATCCACTACGTTAGCTGTGCTTCCTTCGGGCGCATATATCAAGGCTCGCCGGAATCCCGTCCCTCGAACACGCCACGTACAGCTGACCTTGCGAAAAACAGGGAGTTTCCAGGTCTACTCCTACTGTTCGCAGAGACTACCCTTGCGCTTTGTTGTTTGTCATAGCGAGTGCAGGACTGATCGGAACTGTACTCGCCTGAAGTCAAAGGTCATATCGGAGGGACCAAAGGGATTCGTGGAATATGACTACTTCACCTTTGAGCTTTCCCGCCAATATGGTCGCTACGATAACGTTTAGCATGATCCCTGATGCAAAACCTTGTACCATTGCAAATCTTCGGTGGGTTAATGTTACGAAGGAGCATGATTGGCAAACCCAACCTTCAGATCAAATCTGTGAGGTGGTATGCCATTGGGCTCTAGTGAATTCAAGAACTCGGTAGGAAAGTTGACAGCCTGTTCACTCTAAACCATCGTATCAATATATGTGTACGTTGACGCCGGTCCAGGTAGGCTTTTAGAATCTGAGCATTGATAGAATTCACTTGCTCATTTTTGGGTGCCAGAATTGCTCGCTCGCAAATCCACTCCCATTGCTGAAGTTGGTGGCCATGTTTGGGAAGATCTTTTCGATCAGTTCTCTCACCGATTGAACCGTATTGCAGAAGTCTGGAGGAATGGTAATCCAGCCAAAACTTGGTTTAACCGGAATTCTGCCTTCGCCATGAAGCAACAGCTGCTGCGCAAAGCTTCGGGCAGTCTCATCGCCGAGGAGGTGGACTCGCATGTTCGTCGTGAGATTCAGCGATCGAACATGTCTCCAGAGATGAGAAGCTTTGAGGCAAGCGTCCAGCTCATCTGCTGGAGTTGATCGCAGAATCACTGTCAGAGTTTCACGAAAGTCGCCTGCCAGTAGCGCGACGGCCCCATCCATTAACCTGTTGCTTCCTCGTATGTCCCGTAGTATGTTGTCGGTCTTCTAGGCACTTCTTATGCGCCATGGTGCATTCGTCCCAAACTATGAGTTTGATTTCTTGTTGCGCCTTGGCTTTCCCTGTGCCTTTGCTTATCCCACACACTGGGTGCTCTACATGAGCAATATCTGGAGGAAGCTCGAAGGCTGAAGCCTTCGAGCTTCCTCCGGACACATGACACCTTAAGCCATTTTCAGGCCTCTGAAGAAGACGAAGGCGTCGAAACGTTAGGCCTCGATTGGATTAATAAAGATCACCTAACAAACCTATTTGGCACAGAATTTGTCAATAAAACAATTTTCAAAAATTCTTAGAAATTCAAATTAACCTTCTAAAAAAATTTTTTCGGGCGTGGCTGAGCCGCCAAGCCCCTTTTTAATATTTTGGGGTCAAGGGCCCACAAAAGTTTTGGGAATCATCCAAAATTTTTTCGGAGTGCGTGGCTAACGCCTCAGAAAAAATTTTTGTCGCCCCTCCCCACCGGTCCGAAATCCTGGGACCGCCACTGCTGTACTAGTATGGCTCGTGTAGACATGCAAATGAGGGAGCAAATCAGGGTATTTCATGCACATCTTCTCCTGTGTTTACGATATGTGGACTGCCATAGTCGATGCCTGCGTTCTCGAAAGGTTTGATATAAGTACGCATTGAGCTAGAATAGGAGCTTCGAGGTATCTGAAGCAGAAACTATGTGACCTTCTGCAAGTAATGCAAGCTCGAAATATATTCCTGAGTTTTTGTTTGTTTGATCTTGTTTGTATTAGGTTGTCCCTAAGGCAAACCATATTTTTATTTCTTCATATCTTTATAGATTTTATTATCTGTTCAAACATGATGAGTTCAATGCGCAAAACGTGCAGAATGGTATATCTCATTTTATCTAGCCACTGGATTCAACAGAAATACTGATAAACGTACGGCATTTTCTGCGAGCCTGTATAATCTACAAGCTTTTCCAAGGTTCAGAGCAGCCGTACCTTCCCGCAACTCGTTCTTGTGATGGGCGAGAGTACCCTTCGTACGATGTTGTGAGGGCATGGTTGAACCGTTTTTAGGAAAGGCGACTACGGCCCTGAGAATAAGCTCAAGTCGAAACGACCCTGCTTGGAAGTTTACAAGCTGTTTGGAGTTTAGAAGATGAACCAATATCAAGTGTGCGGGATCTTTTGTCGAATAGGCATCTACGTGAAAGCGGAAGAGTCCTGAAGTTTGGTCAACTTGTACCAAACCAGTTGACGATATAAAGTGCGGTTCATAATTATACGAACACCCCGAATTTTGAAAGTTTTTGGACTTTTTGGAAGAAACTTTAAAAAGCCGTTGGTACCGCGCGATAGAGCACAGTCGAAAACGGTATATGATCCGTAAGAATGGAAATTGACGTCAGTCTTAGGACTGTTTTTGCGCCTAATGCAAATTTTTAGCGGTTCATAATTATACGAACACCTCAAACAAAGGTCCATTTTTCATTCAAGATTGCAATCATTTGAGTCCAAAATTTTTGTAGAGTTACAGTAACAAAGTCTGACATATCTGCTACACACTGAACCCAGTGCAGTTCAGAAAGAGGACCGTTACTTTTTTCAAAATGCTCTAAATGCTTTTGGAGTGCTTGGGCTCCAGAAACATCCGTTCTTCTGTGGTTTACGCGCTCTAGTTAGCTTCTACCAAAGTTATGAGATAAAATAAGCTCTATCGATAGGTGTTTTGTTTGACGCTTGGAAAATCTTTGCGTTTTCGTGCCGTTTTTCAACCAGGTTTCAACCTTACCACAGTGTTAGCACGATTTCGAGCCTCAAAACTCAGCTTCTCTCTTGCGCAAACATTGGAAATGAAGCAGCTGCATTGTTTGCATGATGATGTTTCCGTGCCAAAGTTTTTGGGATTTTTGTAGAACTGATCTTGAGGCTGTGCAGCTACAAATCAAATAAAGGTGTGATTGCAATAGTAAAAACACTGTTTTTGGTGAAATGACGTCTGCGTGGCCAAAACAAACGCTCAACGTTGCTGATTTTTTCTAGCCAAATATACGGTCTTGTGAGCTTTTACATACTATATGCTTACCTCATTGTACGACTTCAGAAGCTGAGTTTTGAGGCTCAAAATCGTGTTAACTCTAGGGTAAGGTTGGAACTTGGTTGAAAAACGGCACGAAAACGCAAAGATCTTCCAAGCGTCAAACAAAACACCTATCGATAGAGCTTATTTTATCTCATAACTTTGGTAGAAGCTAATTAGAGCGCGTAAACCACAGAAGAACGGATGTTTCTGGAGCCCAAGCACTCCAAAAGCATTTAGAGCATTTTGAAAAAAGTAACGGTCCTCTTTCTGAACTGCACTGGGTTCAGTGTGTAGCAGATATGTCAGACTTTGTTACTGTAACTCTACAAAAATTTTGAACTCAAATGATTGCA